GGTAATTGTCTGTATTTCCTTTTTGATTAAAAATAGAGCCGTTCTTACCCAGAATTTATATATTGGACTTGGACTGGGCGAGACGCGTGTGAACCTACACCTTTTGGATTCAGAGCTCACTGCGAGAGTAATAAATATTTCTATACCTTCTTTAATAGATAATCCCAGAAATCAGTCTAGTCCGACAAATCAGAGGCTGCCCTGATACTATAGTGAATTCACTTTTAAGAATAGAACGCGATCGGTTTTATAGAAACATTCATTATAATAACCAACTGTACCAGTGACTCTTTTACTGAACCGCTTTGTTTATTACTATCTGTACATGCAATTTTTCGGTTTGTGTATCTGCCATTTTGGCTTAACTGTCTCAGTAATTTCACCCCTTTTTATTGGCACCATTTCAATGTTTGTTTACACCACGAAATCGCCTGTAAATATATACTTTCGAATGGAATAACCCTTCTTCTCAGTAACGATCTCGTAACTTAACACCTCCAAAACGACAACCAGATAATTCAGACTCCCATAGAAACAGAAGCACAAAAAAGTTTGATGGAATGTTTCTCGAAATCATACAGAGCAATTGAGCGTTTGAACCAAGGCATGCCAACCACAACAAGACAATATGCCTATAGCAACAAATCTGAATATCAAAATCAACTTTGACCCAATAAACCTCCTAACAACAGCAACGGCTGGAAGAATAAATAGCGAACAGCTTCAATGCTCACACAGACTGACATTAATTTTATTGTTAGCTTACACTATTTGACCCGGGCCTTGGCTTTCTCTCCTACTATTTAGCTGTTATTAATCACCGTCTTCTCGCTCTTCATTTATTAAATCTGCAGAGACAAATTCCTTCTTCTTGCAAAACAGAACCTGACACGTTGATGTTGTTGCTTATTTGATTGGTTTCTAAACCTTAGTTATAATAGTTTTTTCTTGCTCAGGTCTTATAAGATTCGAAACTTGTTTCTGAGAGCTGTCACAAATTCATTGAGTTTCCAATATCTGGAAGAGCGGCCGTGTTAAAATTTCGTAAACATGTTTTCCCGGCTGACCAACGTTTTTTAACCTCTGTTGAGTCCTGACTAAGCTCCTCTCTTTTATCTTCCATCTCCCACAAACATTGTTAATATTTTACTAACCCAGATTCAGCCATTATAGTTCTCCGTGGTACGATTCCAGGCGCTTGATATGGCGGCGTGTTTATGACCATGAAAGAAGGTGGCACCATCAACTACGATATTGTTAAGTACACGAACTTCCAGTTCGCTAACTGTCCTTGATCGCCTTGCACATCTGATATCTTACTATGGCTCTTGTAGATCCATTTGTGGTCATACTGACCTTCGAGTGCAGGTATCCACTCTCTGGTTTATTTCCTCCCATGAATTACGACTTCTTGTAAGTATGACTTACTTTGTCTTCGGCCAAATGATTTTCAGAGAATTCCTTCTTTTACCTTCCGGCATCACAATTCTTCTTAATAAAAGCTATTGAACTGCCAAAGCAGAATTTAAGCGATTGAACTTCTCTTCCTGGTTGGCCTATTTCAGAAACAGGCCGTAAATTTGTCTTATAAAATGTAATTCTCTGTTCGTAATGAAATAATTTACGAAAAGCGAAACCTTGCACTTTTCTCACTTGAAATACTTCGGTAGAAATATGTTCAGAAAAGTTTAGGCTGTGAGAGTATTGTACTTCTACATCAGTTACTGATGTGACTTTAGGCAGTACACTCTTTCTGAAAATAAGATCTATTTTGGCTTATGGATCTCCAAAACAAGGCTAGCCACTTTCAACTCTTACACCACTATCTACATTACTGAGTTCACATTAAATTGTTTGAGTGAAATTTCCAGTGCCATAGCTCTTAGTTTTCTAGATCACTTTTAGGTCATCAGAGTAGACACTGTCCTGCACAACATTAGGTATTCAACTGCTCCACAGCTTATATGTAACAGTCCAGGTTAAGGAGTTACGGGCCAACTGAACAGTTAGGAATAAAATACTGTACCTTAAGTGGGTATTTACTTCTGTAGTTTATGTATGCATGTTATTTAATCTTGAAAGATATTCTTCTTTTACTCAGTCAAAACGTAAAATGTAACAAAACAATGTAAAAGGAGTTTTCGGAGTATTCTTTTTGTTACGCTATAAGCATTGGAAAGAGAGACTCCGATCGGCAGACGTAACTATTTGATTTTCGGCACAAATATGAATTTAAACGCAAACGATTTGCATCTGTGGGTGAAGCTTAGATACTAAGAAATTTGTGAGAGGGCCTTTGTCAGGAGTTCATTGACTAATGGAGAGTCTCGAACGGTTAAACATTTCTGCATCTGGGTCACGTAGATGTTGCAGATGACGTGTGCTGTTGACTGGCACGTGAGAATGAGGTCTCTAATTTGTCTAGCGATGGATCCGAAGTAGCTTTAAGGATCCGGCTAGTAGGCTTGATAGGTTTAGCATTGGGTCCGAGATTAGCAAGTAGAGCATTGTCACCAACGTGTGCTGGTATGAGACCATAAATGCTGACAGTGACCAGCAACCCTGAAGGTCTTTTCGTGACGAGAAATCACGTGAAAAGGTCCTTCGTAGGTCTGTTGAAAAGGTTCGCGTATCGAATCGACTCGTATGAAAACGTGCGAACAGGTAGATAACTCTCAACGGAGAGCAAACTGTCGATGTTGTAATCGATTTGACACCGGAGGCAGTTTTCACGTAAATTCAGACAGTCGTTGGACGTAGTCTGATTTATTATTACTGCGCCGTGGTGTGAAAAATTCCCTATGCAGACGCAATGTCGTGCCGTATACCAATTCAGCGGCGGAACATAGAATATTTGCCTTTAAGCTCATTCTGATACCTAAGAGAATGAGCGGCAAGCTTTCGAACTAATTGTTGTCTTCGTGTACTCGAGGGGCACTTTTGAGTTGGCAATGAAGCCGTTCAACTAAACCATTTAAAGCTGGGTGGTAGGCGGTAGTTCGTATACGCTCCGTACCAAGAAGCCATGTTAGCGAGGAGAATAATTCGGACTCCCACTGTTGTCCTCGGCCAGTTATGACAGTCGATGGATAACCATACATTGTCATCTCTCGTTCTACGAAGCGGTGAACAACTGTCTCCACCGTGAAAGAAGTGATGAGAGTAGCTTCCATCCATCTTGTGAAACGATCGATGCACGTGAGTGTGTGATCATACCCATGCGATGGTGACAATGGTCCTACAATTTCAATATGAACATGTTCGAAGCGAGCACCGGGCGCAGCAAATGTGCCGAAGGGGCGGCTACGTGCCTGTGTACTTTGAATCGTTGACATAGTAAACATTACTTTTCTCACGGATGGACATCTTTATTTATGGATGGCTGGATGTATCGTGTAGCGATGAAACGTGACGCGGCTGCGATACCTGGTTGAGACAATCCATGAAGGGCACCGGAAACGAGACGACGATCCTGGCCGGGGTAAACCAGTATTTGTCGCACAGGACAGCACCTGAGCTGGTAGCTAGTGGTACTTCCTTGCACTAAAGGGATGTAGAAGTTAACCAAACCTAGAAAAGCCTTCAGTTCCTTGAGTGAGGACGGTACAGTGTACTCCATAATTGTATGTACATTATCAACATCTTACACTCTTATTCCAACGTTTTTCGGATAGTGAAATAGTAGTTAACCCAGACAAGCGTGAACTGGGCAAGGCAGAAATAAAATTCTTTGGTCACATCATTATGCATGAGGGTATTCTACCTTGTAAGGATAATGTTCATCTACGTTTGATGATGCGATTATCAGGTCATCAATATGGACGTGAACAAAAGCAAAGTCTCGTACTATGCTGTCGATAAACCTATGGAAAATTTGGGCAACATTCCGTAATCCAAATGGCATTCGTATGAACTCAAACATACCGAAAGGAGTCGATATCTTCTCGATATTTTCAAGAGCGACTGGGATCTGATGTTATACTCGATCTTAGAATAGACAGTCGTGCCCTTGAGTGATGCCGTGATGTCGTGTATGTGGTAGACGGGATAGGTTTCGAAACGTGTCACTACGTTTAATGCTCGGTAGTCGCCACATGGTCGCCAACTATACCATCACCATGTGGAGTGGTGAGGTCCAAGGACTGTAAGAAGAACCAGCAGCCTGTAGATTGTCAAACTCACGTCTAGCGGAAGCTAATTTCTCCAGCGGTAGTTGCAGGTAAAAACTCCAGGGCATATGCGAGCATTTGCAGCTGGCGCGTGTTGCTGCGGATCCCAAACGGAGAAACCGGTGCGTTGAAAAAGATCTCTAGATCATGGGGAATAAACTCGATAGGTTGAAAATTAAGAACCTGTGTCTGGGAGTCAGCTAAAAACTCGTCATTTATCTACCATTTTCTAAAGCTGTTGAAATTGTGATATATATGAGAAAATAACTATATATATCACATAACAGATAAAACAGTAAGAAAATTGACTAGAAAAATTTATGCGTATTCGTAGTTGCGGCTCACCAATGTAGTAGTACCCCAAATAAACATACAACTTCTCGGGATAACAAATGTTAATCCCATTAGTCTAGAAATCAGAGAAAAGACGCTTCTACATCAAGAAGTATATCTATTGCTACCCTCGCGATATCGAAATAATATCGAGCCCAGATGGTAAATAAGCGGCTAATGACCAGGCAGGAAAAGAGCGGAGAAGGAGAATGGGAGAAAACGCTTGGTGCGCGAGAGATAGTCTTCTGTACAGATAAACAAAAGGAGTACATTATAACAATTAATGTCAGAATTAAGTACAGTTATAAACGTTTGTATTTCAGCAATTGTGTTTTCTTCGTAAAAGTATACCACTAAAATGTGTTCTTTGGTCTTCGTCTTTTGCTCGACCTGGAGTAACCCAAGTTGGGGCTTGTCTTGTGTGCTTATCTTGTCCTATCCACTTCCGCCACTTCCTCCTGATTTCCTCCTCTGCTGGAATCTGATAGGATCAGTAATATGTCTATGTACTATGTAAGACGCATATATGAAATGGCTCTATTACCTATGCTTATTGGTATGGCTCATGGTATAACTCAAGGCAAAATACTTTCGAAAATTTTCCGTACTCTCGTATAACCTTGGAGATATTTCACTACAATATAGACCACTGAGCCTATCGAAGCGATAGGTACAAGCTTCCAAACAATACTATACACTATTACTCAGAGGAAAAGTGAGGAATCCACTTTCTTCACATAAATTGGAATGATTTCTCCACACAATTCTTTATCAGCTACTCCCACAGTGTAATTCAACTCGGAAGATAGTGATTATGTGGGATAAGTTTTTGTTTCCCTCACTGAAAGAACGCTTAGACCACGGATTGCATATCCAAAGGCTTGTGGAAAGGAGTGACTATAAACCACCTTAGACGACTTTATGGAATACTTTACACTACCTAAGGCTTAATATCACTTTGACTATTTGTGTGTAGAAGTCACAGAGGTGACTTAATTACTTATGGCATCCTAAACACATGCAAAATACTTGCTGAGGGTCACTTTCAACAAAAACCCCAAGGACAATATCCAGAGGTTGAAAGAGCAACATAGCAGAATAAACTGTAGGCACACTTTTTATTCTTTATAAGTTGTCAAGTTCTGGAACTAGCTATCAAAAGAGGTAATTCAAGCGAATTCCTAGAGGTCGTCTGAGAAGATACTTGAGATATTCTTGAGGAATTAGGATAGTAATTGACTGTGATTAATTAATATTTCTCTTTTACTCGTTAAAGATACCTACGTTGCTACCTGAAGGTAACGGTGATCCATTGTCATTAGACGCAGAAGTCTGTCAAGGTTAAACCGTTTTTGTTCCATCCGCAACCATCTAAAAATTTGAAGGCAGAGATTTGAAAATCCGTACACACAGATGTACGTCTTTGTATTTTTCTGAACTATACTTAATTACGCTAATCCGAAAGCATGCCACAGTCCTTAGGTTCTTCCAATTGTGAATAATAGCCTTGAGACAAGAGCCTCAAGGTCATTCCAATATCCAATATCTTTTCTACGAGCTAGTGTAAACCAGTTGATTTCTTTGCGCTCGATTCTTGTTCTTTCGGTACGGTTCCAGGTTTTCGTAACAAAGACGAGGTAATTTCGATCCCGAGCTAATTTTAAAAAATGCAAACTAGATAATAAGAGTTGTTAATGATAGAAAAGATAGATCTGACCATTCATTTCACCTAGTTGTGTCCTCACTAGTTGCCTGAAGCCCTCAATACTCAAAAGTCTCAACTACAAAATGAATCTCAAGAGCACAAATAGATTTATTTGGAATTAGTTTAAGTGCACAAAAATGTAAATAAACCTCCCTGAGTAAAATTCTACAATTTTTCAAGTATGAATACTCTGTAGTGATTATAGAAGTGGAAGTTCAAAAGGCTACAAATAGGCGGTTACTTGATTATTAAATGCTGATGATAAGAATTACATAAGCAGCGCTCAGTAGTGCGAATGAAGTTACAAATTTGAGAGGTAGTTTAAAGTTTAAAATGATGTGTTCTTTCGAAATGGTTGTACAGGGTTTCGTGTGATGGAATAACGTGTTACTAAGGCAGGGAAACGACTAACTTCTCCAACACATTAAGTCCCTGAAAACTAATAATAGTTGTTTCATAAAACTACACAAGACGGGGTTGGTTGTCAACAGGTACCTTCACGTTACTCCCAGTCGTGTCCATAAATTCGGATGAAGCTTTCACAACTTATAGTACTGCTTCATTTTTGCCAACACTGTTCTTACAACCTTTTCATAAGCAAATTACTTGTCCAGTACGTCTTAATCCTAAGCATTTATAATTTTCTTTCTCAATTTTTTTCTCTTGTCTCTGCTGTTTCGCCATTTTTCGACCCAACTCGCAATGAAAACTGCAACCTTTTAATTTTAGGTCAATCAATATTTCAAAATACTACTTGAAGCTTGTGAAGAATTTGTATAGAATGGAAACAACTCTCAGTCCTGTTCGAGTTAGTTCACATGCCGGGAGCTGGTATTCTGCAGATAGTTGAGCTACTCTTAGCAAAAAAATTATTAACCATGATTAGAAACACAGCTGTCATCACAGTTAGACACTTGGTTAGAAAGTTGTGAAAACAGTGTTTCCAGTACATATACAATCCGAGCAGTTATAGTACCGTAAGATACTACTTTTGCTAACTAAGTATATTAAGTCATGCAGGTTATCGACATTCTGGTTTCTGTGCGGCTCATGCATATCGTCAGATAAATCCTGAAAAAATGTAGTTCAGGCTCTGATTATATATTTTTTCTCAAAGAAAACGTGTTTTTATCTTAGGTCCCTCACATCACTTAGATATTGGGGATACATGTGCTCTAACCTGTGTATCGGAATATGAAACCCCGTTTTATAACTTAAAAGTTGATAGTGATGGTAAGCAAAATTAATTTTATACCATTTTTTAAGTTTACAACAGCTTGAAAAAGCTCAACTACTTTCACATTCTAAGTAAAAGTCAGGATGAAGCTGAACATTCTGTGGAAATGCAGTTACCTTACATTGCTCACATCATGAAACGGTAAGCATTTCCACAGTTGATAATTATCTCGATTCTCTGTAAATATCTGAATGAAAATACATCCAGCTCAGCAAGACCGTAAAAACCAAGCATTTATCCATGTCGTTTATGTGAGTCTTCGTTTAATGTACGTCGTATAGAAGATGCTCTGCAGTTTATTCAAGAAAAAACACTCCTGTGACCAGTCTTCGTTCTTTTTCATATTCATGAATATTCTCTCATACTACAGACAAGATTTGCCATATTCCCCAATTACTTGACTAGGACTGAGGTCTGTGAGCATGTTTTAAAATGAGCACCTAAAATATTCAGTCCTGTTTTACAAACCTTTATACTGAGTCCTTAGTTAGATTGAAACTACACTAACACCTCTTTCTGAGTTGGAAATATTACCTTGTCTAATTACATCAGCGTTACATGATGCTATTAACCGACGAATAAGTCGAAGCTGCATCAGGGTACGTCCGTCTCCGTTTTCAACAAACCTGATAGCTAAACCCCGTACTAACCATTTCCTACCTTGCGTTGGAGATATAAGATCCCGAAGTACCACATCTCTGACAAAATCAGCTTTCGGACTCAGATTGGTTTGAAGTGAGCATCGCCCATCCAATTTAATCCATTAATAAGTCCGTTCTATTTTTTTATGTATCTTCAGTGTACTATGGCTTGTATTCTTGTACAATAACCCTTTATATAGATTATAATAACTCTCACTTGACACGCAACTGATTAACTTTGCTTTTGAAATATTCGTACGTTGCTTTCCAAGTTGTCTTGATTTCGAGACTATGATGACAAGCATAATATCTAGTGTCTGGATGCAAATACACGTTCATAAGTCTCAGTGCTACATGATCAAATTAGGAATAAATCAAAAATTTTTAGTAACTAGGTGCATCGTTGTCTAACATTAGGACTATTAGTTATCATCAGCGTTTGTTTTCATATTAGAGTTTGATAAATATCTTGGGGTAATGTATTTTATGTTGCTTTTAAGTTTAATACAAGTAATGTTTATTTTTGCTTTTGTTTTAAAGTAGAAGAGATCAATATTCTATAGTTCCCATAGTTGTCGGTTGCTTATCATTCGAAAAACAAGAATTCTTCGGGAACCTTCTATCAAGCTATCTGCTGGATGAGAAAAATCTTTTTGTGATATCTTCTGATTTTTGTCATTGGGGTTTGTTATATTTTCTACATAATATTATTTTCGCATTTATTTAAGTAGCATGGTTAATTTGGCTAAAAGTGATGGTTACTCACGACACTTATTTAGGTGGTTACGTCTTAATTATCCGTTAATTATTTTCCTTGTCTAACCTAACCCAAATGCACATTTTTTGAGAAAATGGAGTATCAGAAAACATAAGTTCTCGTTTTATATGCTTATTCAGTCATAAATGTACGTACATGATCAAATTTGAACCACTTATCCCAACAAGTCCAATTTCCCAGCAATGACTGGTACTAGTATGATTTTGGTGTCTGTCGGTCCACGGACTTCGGCGATCCTCAAATTAGCCACCGACTGATTGTCAAAGGGTTACAAAGTACGATCATCATAATTGGGTTTTTTTTGTACCTCGGAAATCCAAAGATGCTTGTATACTTGGCTTAGTCTACCTACTTGTGTTTACATCGTTAAATAGAGTTTCTTACGATAATATAGACTATTATTGTCCACGAAGTTTCTGTATGGTCATCGATGTTAAGCAGTACTAAACCATGTTTACTCTTCAGTGTCTTGTGGCATGCTAAGTACGTATCTAAAATATAAGTGAATATAGCCAACATGTTTTTCAGCAGTCTTAATACTTCAAGAACCATCCAAAATAAATTCCGTGACCACTTACTTCATTCCTCTCTAATGACAATCATCACTTCTTTACTGAAAAACCCCAATCTTAGTTTTAAACCTGACACAGCTTTCGAATTAGATTACCATGATTTTCAGATAAAAGATTCCAAACCACAACTCCCTTTGGGTTTAAATAAAACAGGTTGAGAAGGCAGCTTTCGTAAAACTTTAAACTAATATTTGATAGACAGAATGATAAGCTTCCAAATGGTACCCACAGTCTGTAAGCAAGAGACTAATCACTTTCATATCTTATTTTCAGGGAAACGATTTCGATATCAGTATTACGATAAAGCTGATGGTGAGATATGGCAGTCTATTGAGAAACTCGATTATATGGTAGGTCATTACTTCTATTTAACACTATTCTCGACTGTAATTTAATCCAATGTATATTTCATAGGGTCTAGATGCAATTCAAAGCCTGGAGCCCAAATTATTCATAAAATATCTTAACGAATATAGGAACACTATATGCGGCAGAAGATGTATAGGCGTGTTGCTATTTATGGTTGACAGTATACGCCAGAAGAAATCGCTTAACTTGGAACTTAAAATCTTACATTATACACAATCCAACCACTGCCAATCGATGGAAGACTCATCAGTGAGTTACGCCGCTTGTGCTTTAGTCTACCGTGATTAAATATATATAAAAAGGCTCATAAAAAAGAAATTTTGTTATATATTATAGGGAAATTAATAATTCCTAAAGTTTTGTTCTTTACTTCAGTAAAAACATCGATCCACATAATATAATGTGCAGTAAAACAGTTGTATCAAGATATTTGTAGCACACCAGCTGCATAGCTAACAGATGACTGATTCATATTATTACAGTGTTCTGACTGGGTATATCGTATAAACTTCATGCTAAAATCATTATTGGGTATAATCATGCGTAAAGATGTGATAATTTGCAATAATACACCTATTGGGTGTCGTCCACATATGGTGTTACCATACTGCTCCAAATAGCTTGTAAATTCAGAAGGAGCAAGTCGTTCAATTAACTCCATTCCCTGAAAGTTTAGGAGATTGAAAATATAATAAAGCCACAAAAGGTAATACAGAATACAAATTGATGTGTAATTTACTAGTTTATAGTACAAACTATGATATGTTATCGGTATTATAATCAGTGTAAGGGTGGTGCATACCACACGGGCTTGTTTTACAATTACAACCCACCACCTAAAACTTAATCATAATCAATCAATCTTCACTGGATACCAGTTCAGTTATAGTTCGCCAGGATATGACTGTGAAATGTGACCTGCATTTGTAGGTTACCAGTATTCGATCATAGATGTCTTCGTAGTATCGGCCGTAAAGTTTGGGACCATAGAATTAGAGAATGACAAATCGACTGATAAAGTAGTGAATCTTCATCGTCTGAGATGGTTAGGACATGTATTACCCACCCATTAATTACCCGGACAACAGCTGGAGTAAAAGTAGGTTGAAATCTAGGAGCAGCCAAATCAAGACATGGCATCAGAACATGAAAACATTGACTGACTCATGTACGCAAGTTTAGACTACCTGAAAGGGGTCTGCGTGATTATCGTAACCAATGGTTGGAGACTTTGGACGATGTGGCTCAAAATCGTTGATAGTGGTGCAGATGTTTTTACTGACTCCCTTGGATTTTGAGCGTTTACATCTCACGGTGCTAATGGGGTGTGGACCAATTGGACCGATATACATTTGTGCCAGACATTCTGTGTATTTCATATTTACTAAGTGACGGATGGAGATGACTTACAGGCTGGAAGTCTACCTATGAACAGTACCACTGTCAATGTCTCCATAGCAGAAAAAACTAAAGATGAACACGATCGGTTGTTATCATCATAGACGACAACACTAAATGAGCTGAATTTTTCAATGTCTTGAGAGATAGCAGTCGAGAACTAACAGGGGCGATAATGTTGATAACAGTGAGAGATCGTAATCGTGTTTCGACAGTAAAAACGCACGAATAATAATAAAAATCATCAGGTAGCTAAGTTTTTGCTTCAAGTATAGCCGAATCGTTTATGACTATTTAACATTGTGTAATTAAGCCATAATTAGTGGTAACCTAGTGAGGCTGTACAAACTTCTGGACCATAAATATGACTAGACGGGGTTTTGAACTTGAATCTGCCAACGTAGTTAGGGCTGCAAATATTTTTTCTTTCCTGCTACTGACACGGTGATATGTTACGTCCTTCTTATATTTCCAGTTAGTCTTAAAACCAGACTCAACACCAATTGGATGTGATTGATAGTTCACTAATCTGAGTATGCTTCTCTTCTGTAGACTACAAACTTAAGTTTCTACCAGCAACGCTCATCGAAAACAAGTGACCGAGATAATTCTCAGTATCTGCTAGCCTCAGATGCACGGTCCCCTAACCCCATTATGCAGAATGAACAACAAAAGATACACAACTCTCTATAAATCCACTCATCTGTTTATAGACATGAATCAACAGACCCCAACGGAATAAGTAGGAAATTATAGTTCACACACGACCAAGTCGAACGTAATAAAGAATGGAGTAAGAGGTGGGTATGAATCAGTGACTGTAACTTAGTGAGTCCAACATAAGCTTACAATACAGAATACTGGAAAACAGTAAGTTATTCAGCTAAAACGTAGAACTTAGTGCGTACGTACGTTAGTCTATGTTGCCATACCATAATAGCACAGATATGGAATCGTCAGTTTAAATCCCATGGTGGTAGAGGTAGTAGAAGTATTAGCAGTGATAGAAAGAATTAGGGTTCGAAGATATCATTAGAGAAGTATAACTCAGTGAAATAAATTTAATTCACAGTCGAGTATTAAAAGAAGTACTACCGACCGAAGGCTTGAAGGTTTATCGAGTCGGTATGGGAACACAGTATATTTGATAATGATACAATAAGATAATACGCAATAGCTCGCTGAAAATTTCATAATCCTACTTTCTAACCTAAAAAGAGATCGTTTTGGATTATTTTGATTTATTTAAACAATGCAATTTGTATACTGACTCTACACCATCACCATCGCATGTCTAGAAAAATTTCTTCAAAATTTGGGTATGTGAGTCACACTGGCCAATTTTTATACGTATTAGAGAATGATGATGTCTGGCACCATGTTTCGGGTTTTCTAAACACAAATAATGCTACTTTGTTCGTACAATCTTTAGAAAAAGATAGCTAACTTACTGTTTCATCAAGTGCTTGTATAGATTGCCAGATTGCCCCTTTACTTTTATCATAGTAGGTGTATTGAAATCTTTTTCCTGCAGATAAAAAACATATTAGTACTTAACGACTGGCCAGAGAAATTACTTTGTAATCATGTTCGTTTGTTTACCGCTTGATTTGGATTATCACTTATCTCAAAACAAACATGCCTAAAAAATTACTTTTAAATCTTCAATAAATGTATTAATGTGTAGTATTAACCAACTAAGCTGTGACCAATGTAAATTTAAGACTCAAATACAGCAGAATCTATCAAAAATGCATAATAGTCTAAGATGGCAACAGTTTAGCGTGACGAAGAATAACATTTACCAATCGGCCTTTATAGCATCTAGTGAACTAATTCTTCATGAAGGCCATAAGATAATAGTTATAAGGAACCATAGTTCAAATGATAATGGTTTGTATTATCCTATTTTTGATATTGTGACTGAAATTTGGTCAGTCTTGCTTGGCTTATGGGCATCCTATGCAGATTGCTTCGACATAGCTGTTATGAAACAAGTTTACATACAATAAACAGAATATAGACTGCACTGGAATTCAGGACCCGCATTTTATCTTATGTTGGACTCGTCAGGTGAATGTACCTGCATCCCAGCATTGGTGTCCACTCTAAGACTCGAACCCAGTGCCGCTCCTGACCGTATCTCCTAGCTTGACGTGGTAGTCGGGCTAGACTATGGTGATGACCCAACCGAGCTATACTGGCTGGAACATATGTTTCTGTAGGTTCTACCATGCCAAGCAGGTCGATTGGAGGACGGTGAGACTAAAAGAAGCAACCCAAGGTCTGAGCGCGAAGTCGCACTGCTGACTGTAAAAGGGTGTGACAGCAGTAAGGTGTTACCCTCGGACAACCAGCATCTGCAGCGATGCTGCCTTCTCAAGTGCAAGGAAAGAATTAGCAAAGGTCGACTCTCAAAATGTCACACCTCACCTTATTTCACGGATTTCCGTCTTCAGCGGTAAGGCCACCTGAAGTGCGGAGCTAACACTTTAAAAACTTCTCATAAAAAGGTCGTGCGTGACAGGCCTTAAGCAGTTGTCCTTTGGGCTCTGCGGCTACACTCTCAGGTCTCTAAGATCAACGCTAATCTTACTTCTTTTTCAGGTTCCACGGAGTAAGCAGCCGTGAAGTGAAAACTGCCCTCATACACGTAAAACCACACGAGACCAAATCGGTCACAATCAAATCCTCCCTACACCCCTACTGTAGCGTTCTCTTCAAACGCCACTGCGTTCTGGATTCCATTGCTTGTTCCATGCTCTCTAATCTGCGTAAACTTGTGTCACATACATTATTTAAATGAAATCTCGTACCCATTTTATAAGTGAGTGGCTATCTGGATTCAGTACCTAAGCGGAAAACTCGATGGCGTTTGATGCGAATAGTACTAGGTTCGAGTTCTGAGGTGAACATCAACTCTGAGATGCGAGTGCATCCAACTAGCTCGTCCCAAAATAGAACAAAACGAGCGTTTTGGATTCCAGTGCTATTCACGTTCTATCTATTGTGAGTAATAGGGAAGGATTTCAAGTCGAGAGATAAAATCTGGATAAGAAAACAATAATGATAATTTCTGTTCCATGTAAAATCAAACTCAACCATTATTTGAAATATAAGAATCTACAGTCCTTACTAATCTCTAACCAGAAGTTGGAATAACTTCAAACAAGACATATATATTAGGAAGGGAAGGGGTGGTTTACTCACAAGCTCCCAGTTAACTGAAATCCATAGTAATAATAAAATACGGCCGTTTTAAAGGTCTAGTCAATAAACTTTAAATGAATCCAATGGACAAATAATCGATGGTTTAATGTGTGCATCATTTGCGAAATCAATAAATTAACTGAAGAATATAACTCCTACCTGAATAATATACTAGCTACCTTCTTGACAGGTACATTTCTGATTTAGCCTGCTTGTGCTATTATCTGTTCGTAAGTCGTAACTCCATGAATGGTCTTACAAAATTTTGATACATTGGGCTGACATTATGAAAATCCTGTAAAACCACTCATGGAGTTACGACCTACTAACAAATAACAGCACAGGCAGACTAAGTCCGTACTTTTTCAATCAGATTTAGTCTTCAGCACGAAACCTCAAAGAAACTGAGTGTTTAAGCCTCTAAAGTTCATATTGTAGTGCACGAATATATGAAAGGAGTGAAGTGACCGATGGCCCCCCATTTGAACGAAATTCGATCTGCTACCAGTAAGCTTTACACGTGTTCATACAATCTGTTCAGTAAAGTAATATACTAGTTTAAATGCAACTAGTAGTAGACCTCTGAACTGACTGTCACCAGATAAGATGAATTGTCGCCCACGAAATATTTTGATGTGACTACCTAGACTCACTGAGTGATGAATTTTTGAGTGCGAGTCACAAAATATAGATTAGTAGCAATACTGGTCGAAAACCGTAACGGGAAACACGCTGCGTCGAGTCTTTTTGAAAGCGACCAACTTACACCTAACATGCTTTCAAACAACAGATTCTATATGAGTCCTGAATCTCTGGTGAGACAAGGTTTATTGGTTAGTGTTAGTTAAATACTTAGAAATCTTATCGTCCCACTGTTATCCCGACAGACATAACGACAGTATTTTCTAGAGTAATCACACTAACAATAGCGGCAATTACATAAATATATTAAATTAGCTAAATACATTTAAATATTACTATGTACTACAATACAAAATTTAACATACCCCAATGACAAAAATCAGAAGATATTACAAAGAAGTTTTCAGGATTTGACAGGTATTGAGCGAAAATCTGACCATAAACTGCTTCTCTTTCAGGAGTTAAGTATCCTACCAAAATTGGTACGACAGAGAATTTGCCTTGGTAACTAGAATAGCAACATCAGAAAGGATAGGATTTTGAAACGTTCTGAATCTATGAGTGACGTTGATACAAAACTAGCATATAAAGCGTTTCCCGGAAATGTGATTTCGGAACAGTGAGATATGTTTCCATCCTCCGACTTTGATAATAATAAGTTGAAGTTGAAGGCATGCATTTACAAATAACCATGAATATAGATACTATACATCAATTGCACGTGAAAACTTGCACTACACTGCGATTTTCTAACATGAACAGGAGCCTATTTTGATTCTCTTCAAAATTAGTTCCGGTCTAACACTAAACAAGTAGAGCATTAGTTTTGTTTTGATAACCATTTGCACTACCGATTTTGTATTCAGTTCGGTCAACATTTATCTAAGCTAAGTGTAGGAATACAAAAAATATCATAGAATAAAGGTTAGGGGTGATAGCGCCCATACTTCATGAGAATACCAGCTAGAAGCAAGTTAATGCGATGGTAACGATTATAGGACCTATGAAAGCAACTAAAATCCATATTACCAGGTTGGATAAAAGTAACTTTGGTTAACATAATGAAGACATTTTCAACCTATGCAACTAGAACTTCATAGACAAGGGAATTAAAATTGATGTCAGGCTTACAGAAAGTACTTGCTGACATTATTCTACTAGTGAATACATTTCGTCTCGTAACACACATTAAACATCTAGAGAATATAGTCTTACTCTAATCGAAGTAATCAGACGCTGGGAAGATTTATTGCGGATAGCATAGGTTCGGTTATGCGGCTGCGATCTTTATTGTTATCAAACAATTTGTAAAACAAATTCTGACTTCGACTTTTCACGCGAAGGATTAACAAAGGACTGGCGCCGAAGAATTTTTTCCAAATTATCTGACACCATAATTATATTAGGAAATACTGCAAGTGTTGTTACGAACTAAATCACTTAAGAAAATAGTAGTTGAACCTCATGATCATTAATATATACGCATATCCAATACACACAATCCCTGGAAGTCTAATTAATAGTGAAAGTTGCCAAAAACCCTTAAGCCAACAGCCGTTATGACTTGTCCAAAAATAGATCACACGCGGAACCACGACGTAAAATTTGTTATGTGCACACCACAGGATTCACTGGTCTCTATTATTTAAGAACCATAAACGGTTAATGTCAACTCACATTTACACCCGGTTCATAATTATCCTAAATCACGGTATAAAGCAACAATTCAATAAATATTCAGTAAATAAATAGGTTTTATTTTGACTCAGACATGAATATGGACTAAACAAAAATATGATGTGAAATTACCTTTCCATCATCTTTGCTATATATGGCATTTGCATTTCTATAGAATGCTCTTCTTCATCCCGATCCAGAGAGAGGCTAACAAACTCTCCTGTTTTTTCGAGGTCACGATATACTAGAGGAGAAATTGGTCCCCGATTTGGAAAGGATCCACTCACCACCTCTATCAATCGGCAAAGAATACAGTGGAGTGTCGAATAAATCCGCTGTGGACAGAGCACACTTTCCTCTGAGGCTCATGTAGTGAGCAGGACCTAATACGAAAACACGTTTACTGGACAGAGTTATATGAATATATGCAGTTTACATGCGGTGTGGGTCTATTTGCTTAAACGCGAACGCAGCACATGGGCCCGAATAATCATAACCAGCATGTCTATAACATATTATATTGAAATAAGTGGCTCATATACGGTGAAATAATAGCACGAGCTGGTTGTCGACTGACAGTTACTTCAGATAACCATTTCTGAAGCTGATTGTTGAGCTTATCACCTGAAATAGACCCGTAATTTTTGAGGGTATAAATTTCCTTACGATCGGCAGAATACCAACTACCAGCGTGGGAAGCTCTTCTTACAACAGGGCTCATTAAATTTAGTAGGGGTATACAGAAAAGAGCCGTAACGTTTTGATTCAATAACGCTCGTTATCTTCAACAAGTCCAATATTTTTCACCTGTGTGGTTCAAATCTGTACTTTCACAGCATTAAGTCAGAAATCTTCCACCAATGCCCACGATACTCTTCTCGATGCTAAGTCATCTATGTAGTGAGTCACGGTTTAGATATCACCTAACAAGATATATTTTTACAGGACGTTATCTTGGCGTGAAAAACGTCAGCTAGTCAGGAATTCTGGATTCATGAGCCTATCTCCTGTATTTCATCAGTCGCTGTGATGTTTACAGGGGCGTTTTAAGACTGAAAGGAGTCGTTAATAATCTACTCATTACATTCTGCAGTAGGATAATAGAAGCTGATCTTCGGAAGTCCTTAATCCAGTTAGGTTAAGCACCTATCGGACTGCAGCCCTATGAAAGATTTGTGCTTCTTTGTTTCGCGCTGGCTTTTATACAATTAGGAATATGTTAGTAGTGTACAAGCTAAATGTAGCTACCTATGCCATACCTGTGAATTACTCCTAGAGTGCTCACTATTCTAAAGCTCTCTGCATCAGCAAAGTGGAAACAACCTAGGTCTTCTAATACACAGTTACTGTGTAAAAAAACCTTGTGGCCATAGGCTAACAAGAATCCATTCACAATAATCATGAAACTCGTGCCACCTTGGTCTAACCATTAAGATATAAGTTAATTTATGAATCTTAGATAAATCAACAAATATCTCAAGACAGATCTTCACTATGAGTCATCTGATAAACTTGGTTACACTCAGGATTAGAGATATTACGGAAATTCATGGTTCGATAGCACTATTTTTTGTCACGTCTCTGTCATAGAGAATCCCAAATGAAATGAAACCAGAAGTGAGGAATGAAGGTCCTGAAAGTTATGTTTATGATGTAGTCAATAATCTCAGGGATATATAAACTAATCTGACTGTTTGTTGCTTGAGGTACGTACAATAGCATGCCCAGTAGTGGTCAGGCGAGGACACATAACCAAGATCTTTGTGATAATATGCATCTAACCGTCCTGGAAAACAATGAAATATGTATCAAAACACACTTTTGATAATGTAAACTAGTAGATCATGCAAAATATCCTTATCCTCATGTGTATATATCCTGATATAGTAAAAGGAATCACACATCAAAAGGTTGCTTTCACGGTTGTCGGCTTCGCGAAAAATATGCATATATACTCCAGGACACAGAAAATACATTGGTTTACTTTTCACTAAGATATGCATGCATTAGAAACCATTTTTAGAGTGGTTGTTGTTGTTTCCAGCTTAATAATAACTTAACATACAATGAAACATCTGTGTAACATGGTAAACGAACCGAAAAGTGAATACACTTGGGAAATGTCCTGGTTGGTGTAGTCATTCAAATAGCCAAGAAACCTTGCGATTTTTTCGGAGGGTGTAATTTTTGATGAGGTATCAGATACAAACGAAGTTTCTTCGCGTTCGTCACTTATAAGCTATGACATCATGGTTATGGAAATGGTATCGTTTGATTGTTTATTGCATTATCTGAAAGAGGTTTGGGCAGGTATGGGCCAGGTGATGCTAATGGTGTCGTGAGTCCTGTTACAGTCAATGATATTATTGTACTTGGGTTCGCGATAAAGAACCTTTTTACTTCTTCTGTATGCAGCTTAGGCAAATCGAGCTAAGCAGTTGTCACTTGTAAAAACGTGCGCACTACGCTGTACGGAGGGTTTGGAAAAAAAATCTTCTGATTTCTATTAAGTGGAAACAGGTTTCGCCGAAATCATAGCGTTTGTAAACCTGCTCATTTTGACACTGAGATCCACATTTATTGAAAAAGGAGTAAGATCTACGAATTCTTCTAGAAGTTCAAGTGTTGTGACGTTAATGATATCTGGTGCATTGCATCCAAAGTTTCTGTTCACTCCAAGCCAGGTAACTCATCCTGCTTTGAGTTTGATGGCTGCTCGAAAACTCGGGTGATAAATTTAATGCAACCCAATAAAAATATTGCGTCAATATTTCCTCTGCACAATTCAAAGGTCATTTGCTGGCGTTTCTTATCGAAATTAAGAACTGCTCTACAACAGACCATCATTGAAAACCGAGAATCGTTAGACTATTTTAGTGGTGACTGAATCGAGATCGACCACTTAATACTAATTACCATCCCGTCACCAATTTAAGGAATAAATACAGGATTAAAAATATATTTGAAGTAGAAAGTAGGCGTTATAGCGAGCAGCAAGTTATGAAAGATAGCTGCAATACTAAAAAGTACGTTGCGTGCGAGGAAGTGTTTTTAGTACAGTTGAACAAAACGAGTACAATAATAAATGTTTATTTTTTTACCAGTCGCGTTTTCTTCGTACAAGTGTTCCACTACACTATGTTGATGCATAATAATAGCTGCTGCAGCATTGGCCGAAACCATTGTGGATGACCTTCTCAAAGCTGAGCAAGTTTGAGTAGGTTAATTCCTTAGAAACTGTTTAAAGAGTTTAAACGAGACAAGATGTCTTCAACTTCAATACCTGCAGCAGATATATTCCATAAGAAGTAAACTGTGAGATGTAGTTAGGGACTCCAGAGTTCTAGTGAAGAGCTGTTCTACTAATATGAGCTAAGAGAAAGGGTCATATTCTTACAGTCAGTGGACAAAGTGAATTTTTAACCTTGCACACAGTTGATATTGATAAGATAATCATAATTTTTAATGCCATCAAAAACGATAGAAATTTGAATTTCTGACACCCCGTGACTTGATTTAAGCCACTTCTTCTGAGTGAATAAATAATTAACCAAAACAATGAAACATGACTTTAAATGGTTAAAAGAATTAATGCCGAAGGTTTTTAGGTTAGTTTATCTAGGTCATAACATGTCAATATTGTGTCGTTTTTCCGTGGACCTAGTTCTTTATTACACCTCAAAGTATTATTAGTGTGCATATATGAGAATGAGAAAAACATTTAACTTGTGACATGAATTAGCGAATTTAAAAATAATGAAAAATTTATGTATGTACACAGAATTATATGAATAATGAATTAAGTAGAATCCAAGTACCTTCCTCACCTTGATCAATACAGTAAGATCGCACTGTTCTCCGTAAGAGAAGAATAGTGTAGGAAAGATTAGGGACACTAAGCTTCGAAGAACAGCTGTAAATATTTGTGGCTAGACCTTTCTCGGTTCTAGAAGACAGTGCAGTGGAACACTTCTACGAAGAAGACGCGATCGGTAAAAAATAAACATTCATTATTGTATTCAGTTTGTTTAACTCCACCAAAAACCCTTACGCTCCTTTTCGCGTTGCTGTCATCTTTCATAAATTGCTGTTCGATGTAACGCCTACATTCTCTTCCAAGTAAATACCCAACCCTGGATTTAGTTTTATAATTTGTGAGTATTTAGTGGTGATCATAGCCAACCTTGACGCAGTCACCACTAAAACCGTGAAGGAAAAGCTATCCGAATAGTCTCTGGAATGCCTAGATTACTTACTGTTTTACTTAAGCCAATCGCCTATTCGAAACGGCGACATACCAATATCATGGGGAGACTGCTGTATTGAATCCCTGGTGGAAGACGATAAAGGTAAAGCTTAGGTATTCTAAAACAACTTTGGACGTGCATATACCACATAGATGCTTCATTCATACTGAACGCTCCATAAACACTTTGAACACTGCGGCCAACGTGATATCCTTGATCTATTGAGTGCGCTTGATTCAGGTAAATCTATGGGGCCCGATGAACAGCATTCAGATTACACATTCATTGCAAATGTCTCAGCATTTATTATATTTTATCTACAACCTAAGATCGAAAATCAAAAGACTGTAAGAACGCCACAGTGAGTTCAGTATTAAATACGGACCTGAGAACTATCGACCCATAAAGCTGATTAGAGAGATTGCGGAAATGCTTAGGGAGCTATTTAAGAACCTGAATGAAAACTAGATTCTTTCTGAGAAGCAGTGAGGTTTTAGAACACGCTGATCGTGTTTTAAAAATCTGTTAGCAATTTGTAAAAGGTGGTGCACTCTTATGGATAGAAAACCATCCTTAGATGTAACCTTTACTGACTTTGAAAGGATTATAACCAAGGCCGTCACAACTGGCTTTTATCCAAGTTAAGTGATGTCAGGATTTGGGTCTGCTGATTTATATGTATCAAAGACTTTCCAGTTCGGTGCCGATAGAGATTACCGGTTATATAAGAGTTATCTAGCTGGGTGCCCCCGGAATGCAAATAACCCTCTTTGTCTATTATCTGCGTCGGTTATGTTATAAGTTCATGGTGCCAATATTTGCAGAGTGATTGAAAATGAAGGTGGCAGTCTACATCTTTGAAATTTTATGAGGAAATTATGCAAGTGGTTCAAAACTCGGTTGTTACCAGGTTGCAGAAAAATGCACGGTGAATAACACTGGACTACAAGTTATCTAGACAGACAATGATGTAGGAGTCGTCAGTAGCCAAGACTTGAAAACCACTGTACATTACCGTACAATAAACATCAAAAGTTTTGGGAATCCACGGTTTATATGAAGAACCTTTATCACTGTCGATGCAGTATGCAGCATATGTCATCCGCAAACTTGAGCAGTGCA